TTCTCCCGCTTTTCTTCCCTTGCGCAGCAAGCCCTGTCTCTTGTAAAAACAACCTTGAAAGTTTTGTAGATACATATAGTTTCTACACCTTTATCCTCTGGTCCCTAGGGTCAGCTGATCCCGGGCCAGAGGAAAACTACCGACTGCCAAGGTCTGACGCCTAGGCAGTCGAGACCTCTTATTGAGACCCTTTATAATAATAATAACACTTTATTTGTATACCGCTTAGGCCGTATAAGCGACCAAAGTCCCAAAAATGGGGTTGCTACTGGCCAACAAAGCGGTGCAGATAATTATAGCTTAGTAGTCCCATTTCTAATCAAAATTCAAATTTATTTACTAGTTGAACTTGTAACACTCTGATATAATATCTTGTAGTACTAATTACTGCATACATCCCACCAGGTAGCCTGTTCAAGTTGATATTGTATATCAGCTGTGCGTTAGTTAGTGGCTCCTGTCTAGAGAACCGTCTAAACTTGAGGTTTACAGTGAAACACTCTCACACCTGCTAAATACTCCATACCTGCTAAATTCCTAAGTTCTTTTTTGCCTTTACAGTCGTATAAAGTATCTATTTTTGGACCAACTATGCTCGAAGAAATTAAATTGTAATTCTTGTAAATGAGATTATATCTATTTAGTTCACTTTGATGAAATCGGCAACTCCTGGACGTACTTTGATCCAGCTCTCAACAGTTTGGGGGAAAGGAAACAGTGCGGCGGCAGTAAATCGGGGTTTTACTGTGCTACCAGAAAAGTTCTCTTCACTTATTCACTCCTGATCCACTGCTCTCCCACTACCTCTAGAAAAGTGGCTTCTCTCCACTTATTCACTTCTGATCCACTGCTCTCCCACTACCACTAGAAAAGTGGCTTCTCTCCACTTATTCACTCCTGATCCACTGCTCTCCCACTACCTCTAGAAAAGTGGCTTCTCTCCACTTATTTACTCCTGATCCACTACTCTCCCACTACCACTAGAAAAGTGGCTTCTCTCCACTTATTCACCCCTGATCCACTACTCTCCCACTTCAATCAGAAAAGTGGCTTCTCTCCACTTATTCACCACTGATCCACTGCTCTCCCACTACCACCAGAAAAATGGCTCCTCTCCACTTATTCACTTCTGATCCACTGCTCTCTCCCACTCCAAAAGCTCCAGTATGTCATGTCTTTACTCTTTAGTTCACCGGGTCTTCTCTATCTTTTCAACCAATTTAAAGTGAAGCTCGAAAACAATGCACCAAATTTCTCGGCGATTTGTTACTTTTCCCAGACAATACCCCCGCATGTGTGGGTATATCATATATATGTGGGTATTATATATAACACTCCTTCATAAATTACTCTATAATGCGCGTACATGCAGCTCCTAGCTCTAAACACACTCACACACTCTCTCACCTTATATACCTGTATTATAATAGGTTCTAAACAATACAGTCCTGATCGACTAAGGATTGCTTGGCTTTGAGCGTGGGGCGGCCGTGGCAACTCATATTTATTCAACATAACTTAAATATTCAGCTAGTTTCTAAGCAGAGGGGTTGCTTGGCATGACTTTAGGGTTAAGGTTAACTGTAAGGATAGACCGGGCTGAAACGAGAGAGCCTTGTAGCAAGTGTGCTCCTCTTTAAGGAGTCAGCTAATTTACACTCAATGCTCCAATCTCGGTCACATACACATTACGCTCTGTTACTTAGAATCTACAGAGTTATCTCAATATTCAGTAGCACCGTTCTTTCTAATCTCCCGGAAGTTGGACGATCTATACGGCCACTTTACAGTATACAGTTTAATACGGCCACTATATAGCATTAATGCGGCCACAACAATAACAAGGATTTAATATGTTGTTCAGTAGGGAGCATCACAGCTCTCGACAGACAAAGTGAAACAAGGCACATGACGGGGAAATCTTAATGATATAATCGATCTTTCGGCACTCATTGGCCTTTTACTTGGCTAAACATACACGGTTGTTTAAAATAATAATTATTTCAAACTACCGCAGGGGTGTAGGAATGATTTTCTTCATGGGGGGGCCAAATTCTCAATATTTTTTGGCGCTTCGCGCCACAGCCTCAATTTTTTGGCGCTTCGTGCCAAAGCCTGAATTTCGGGGGTAGGGTCTAAGGACAAAAATAAATTGCAGCATGTGGCTGTGCGGTATCACAATTTTTCACGTTTGCCGCAACAAATCGCGATTTTTCAGATCCTGGCCTGACGACAAATCGCAATTTTTTCAGTTCTCCGCGTCAAATTGCGCATTTTCTTTTAAATCTGAGGACCAAATTCGCGTATTTTCCTTCAAATCTGTGGGCCAAATATCACGTTTTTTATAATTAGTATATGAAACCAATCAGTATCACATCCACAACCTTCCGAATGTAGGTACGGACTTCAAAAAACCGAAAAATGTATTTTCGGCTAAGAAAGATCAGGGTAGCATGAAACATGAACAAAAGTAATTTCCAGAAAAACTTTGAAAATTTTTGACTCAGAAAATTTTCGGTCCGAGTCATTCTTGATACGTACCTCTGAAAGCAGAGCTCCCGCTTCCGAGCTCGTATTCCGAAGGGGAGGCCTGCCTTTCGAGATCGCATTACAAAGGGGAACCCTCGAGTCCAAAATCGTATATCGAAATTCGAAAACCGAAAAAAATATTTTTGGCTCATAATGATCAGGGTAGCATGAAACATGAACAAAAGTAGTTTCCAAGAAAACTTTGAAAATTTTTGACTTAGAAAATTTTCGGTCCGAGTCATTCTCGATACGTACCTTAGAAAATTTTTGACTTATAAAATTTTCGGGAAAAATTTTTTTCCCAAAAAGTTTTAGAAACCTAAATTAAAAAGTTGACCCTTTTTGGCCCCTTGCCCAGATTTCATGGGGGGCGATGGCCCCCCCTGCCCCCCCACTTCCTACACCCCTGAACTACCGTGTATGTTTAGCCAAGTTAGGGTCCACCTTACTTACTTGGTTTAGTTCCTATAATTGGGCTCGCCTGCTTAAGTGAGACCCTTGTAATTTATAATCTTAATAAAAGGCCAATGAGTGCCGAAACGTCGATTATTTCATTTAGTTTTCACCAGTCACCAGCCTCGTTTCTCTTTGTATGTCGAGAGCCGTGATGCTCCCTACTGAACACTACTGACTACAATGTTAAAAACTCACGCTCGGCCTCACGCAACTCACGCTCGGCCTTTCAAGATCCATGAGACTAGGTGAAGAAAGTGCGCAAATTTTATTGACCAGAATACAGTGGTTTTCAGGATAGTTCCAGGAGCTGTTGATATGGTGTTTAAGTGATGATAGACTTATCATGTTACTAGGAAAAAGGCTCATACTTCTGATGCCTTGAAGTTGATATAATATATTATATATATTACCAATATTTTGTTAAAAGCACAAGTTTTGGAAATATTTTACAAAAGAAATGTCTTGAGATTTTTTGCGTTTCACAAGAATCTGAAGACCGAGGCATGCTATTTTATTCCCAAGATTCAAATTTATAATTGCCCTGCTAAGCCCCAAAACTGCAGGTATGTCACTGTGCAGTGTGAAAACATAAAATCTATTTCAAAGCTCCGGAGTTCAAATGTTTTAACAGGTAAAATATGGCAGGTAAAATATGTTGCTCTGGTATTCAGACCATTTCAAGGGTTTGAGGCTGTGAGGCGTGCAATGCTTTCATCTCCAGAATCATAACTGTAACTGTAAGTGTAGTTATCCGCTTTCCAAACCTTTCGCCACTACACTTCGTGTACCTTATTTGTTGCCACTGGGAAGGCATTGTTTTGCATACCTGGTCATTATGTCACGTCTGCTAATGAAGCCTATAAGTTGCCAATTAAAGATGAATTAGTGACCATTTAGTGACCATTTAGTAACCAGTCACTGAGTATTTCTCACATCAGTAGGAATAAAATCATCACAAATCTACACCTATTCTAGATGGGATATTGTACAGAACTCCGGATAGCATTATAATACCACACACACACACACACACGCACACGCACAGAGATTGTTTTGAAGTTATAACTCCACAACAAAACAAGCCGTATGTTTATTGTAACAGTATTTCACCCTGCCTCTCTTTCTCTCTCTGCTTTGTTCTGTCACGTGATATCTAGTTTGTATCCAGGGATTCAGCCCTAATTTCCGATCAAAAGAACTGTTGTGCGGTACATTCCACTCTGTGTTATTGACCTGGGATCGTTCAAATAATGACAGGATGGAATACTTTTGAGTTTTGGCAGTCTGCTGTTATTTGTTATCTGTGGTGGCGGTATATTTGACTCCAGTTCTGGTGGTGGTGGTGGTTAGTTTGGGGTTTCAGAGCTGAGGTGGATACTGTGCTCTGATTGGTTGGTTTGTGTCACGTGGTGTGGATACTGTGCTCTGATTGGTTGGTTTGTGTCACGTGGTGTGGATACTGGGCTCTGATTGGTTAGTTTGTTATCCGTGGTGGCGGTGTATTTGACTCCACCAGTTCTGGTGGTGGTGGTGGTTAGTTTGGGGTTTCAGACTTCAGAGCTGAGGTGGATCACTTTTTAAATACTTCTGATGATATTTAACATTCGAGAATCAAAAGTCTGCTCTGTGTGGACTCTAGATTGTTTCATATTAGCTTAGTCTGAAGTCTGTTGATATTGAGCATAGCTGTATTATTTCGCCTCCGATTTGTTTCAACTGTTTTTAGAAATTGTATCTGAAAATGTCACTTATTAACGTTTTTAATTAAAAAAAAAATATTTTAAAGGATAATAGCAATGTTGCTTGCAGTTTGGTATTTGACAAGCCCTCTATCATAGCTTTATCAATGGACCTGTTATGTATATTACATTATGTTTATGATGACGTTAATTAATAATAATCATTAACAACCTTGCTTTCAATCACTAAAATATATTGCAAAATTTAACAATTTCACTTTTATTTTCGCTAGCACTCTTTCACTTTAATTTCTCTTCTAACAAGATACAATTTGTAGCAATGGCTGACGCAGACTGTACATGCGCTGTGGCCTGTGAGAAAACGCAGGAGGAATGCCAACAAAACGCACAATGGTATTTACTTTTATCTCAATCATTTTCATAAATCAATAAGTTAAATTATATAACTTAATCAGTGATTAGTAAATCGTGGGAGAATTCAGCTTATTGATCCATCAATTGAGTAAATATGTCAGACAGAGTTTAATGCTGTCCATTAAAAAATCAAAGAATAACCATCAATTATCAAATACCTAACTTAACTTATTATTTAATTAATTAATGATTTTAAAAATAAATTAATATCATCCCATTAATAACACAGGTACTTGTTTGTTGCGACTAGTATGGTCATCCTATTTGGAGGTGGTTTCCTGATCTTCTGCATGCAAATACTGTATGATAAATGGAACCAGGTAACGTGAAATGTTTTTTATTTTTTATTGATTCCTAGTTTGCTCGTTCTTTTTTTTGTTTGTTTGTTTGTTTGTTCGTGCCGATTTGTATTACTTTTCGGCTTTGTTTTATTTAATCAACGATCCCTATTAATCGTTTATCATGGCCTTAACCCCGGATTCTGGGACTAGTTTTTTATGAAAGAAATAAACAGTGATTTTCAGAAATGTTCATTATATTTCTTAAGAAAAAAATGGAAAGTGACAAAAACATCTTCATTATTATTTTATATCGCCCAGAGCTGCTAAGACCAAGAGAAGTGTTCTGATTGGCCAGTGAAAAATATAAAGTTCTCAAACATTCTCAGTCCGACAACTGCAGATTATTCTTTTGTACTATTATACAGTGTAAAAGTACGGCTGGTTAGATCACACGTTCCCACACGCCTACCTGACTCTCTTCTCGCGTCGCTCTACGACGTGTCAATTGTTTTGAAGTGGCTTGAAGTGACCAGCAGTCTCAAATTTGTATTGGCCAATGAGAAGGCTCGTTAGAAATCACGTGTTTTGTATTGGCCAATCAGAAGGCTCGTTATAAAACACGTGTTCAGCTAGAAGCAGATAAAAAGCCGTGTTACATATCACATGACCAGGGCTGTGAAGGTTCAAAACGAGAATGTCGCATTTTAACGATTCATAAGTGTTCTAAAATTAGAATTGTAACCATAAAAGTAGGTTTTGTAAAACTATCCCAGGCCTTTCAAGTCGATTGACTATGTTAACAGCAACTTAATTAAGTTCGTACTATGTTTAATAATTAAACAGAAAGTTCGCCTTTTAGTCCAGCATGATGACAGATTATATCATCTGGATTTGTAACTTTATATAAATAGGTCACGTGACACTTTATATAAATAGGTCACGTGACACAGGTTCTTTCAACTGGACGCGTAACTTTATAGACTGTCAAGTCAGAACCGGCAGTTCTGCCAGGCTTGTCATAGTGGTGAATATTTATACTTGAAACTTGAAGTGGTGAATATTTATACTTGAAGTGGTGAATATTTATACTTGAAGTTGAAGTTTGTCCACGTGACCGGGTTATTTCTACGTGACTTCATCACGTGACATGATGGTAACCCGATTAATTAATGGCATAATTCGATAATAAAACCGTTAGACATGGTTGTAATTTGTAAACAAAGCTGTATCATTACCAGCATAAGAATCGGCTATTACTAGGTTAGTCCTCAACTGAAAATACGCTAAACTCCCGTTTAGCCAGGAAAATTAAACAACAGAAAATATTTAATATGTGCACATTTTGTACCATTGCATGAAATTTGAATTCTTCTCATAATTTGTTGGGCATGTCTACCGTAATCTAACGAAACGGCTTTTACGGAATTTTTTGAAAATTTCTAGCCAACATCTGTCTTTGTAAGAAGTCTTATATTCGAATTCGAACCGTCCGTAAACGACATGGAATTGTGATGTCCTTCACCTGAATATAGATTTAGCACTACACAGTATTAAGACAAAATTAGTAAACAATCAGATAAACAAGTACTAAATTTTCAAGTTTATCCTTCTAGGCACTAAAACTCGGCCGTCAGATCAGGATAGAATATGTCGTGGTCTAACAGACAGCGTCACATGTACATCTGATGACGTCACATGTACATCTGATGACGTCACATGTACACCTGACGACGTCACATGTACATCTGATGACGGCACATGTATATCTGATGACGTCACATGTACATCTGATGACGTCACATGTGCATGTGCATCTGATGACGTCACATGTACATCTGATGACGTCACATGTGCATCTGATGACGTCACATGTACATCTGATGACGTCACATGTGCATCTGATGCCGTCAGATCAGGATAGAATATGTCACGTGGTCTAACAGACAGCGCCCACGTTAAAAACCGCGCTTATCGCGTAAAACTTGCAATAGCTGGTGTGCATCGTAGAAAAACTGTCTAAACAGATTTAAATTATCAGATAATGGTTTAACTTTGCACATTACATTAAATGTAAACATTACATCTAAGGCCCACATTTCATCTAAGGCCCGTCAAATGAAATCGTATGATTTTTTACTAACAAAATCTTAAGAATATCCACGGTTTCTTCGCGTACCTGGTTATTTCTTGTTTCAACTCTAGAAATCACAGATGATATCTCAATTAGCTAATATGACTTGTAATTAGTATTTTTAAAACACGATAACGACATTTTCACTTCGACATAATCTCAATAAGTGTTGTTTAAAAGTTTAAATGTTGAAAATAACGTTGTACTCAGTACTCACGATATGTAAACTGCCAAGGTAAACTCTTCCGTTAAACTTCATCGCAGCTTCAGAGAGTAGATGTGTAACTAACCATAAACTGTGAAGGTTTTCTGACTTGTGTGTATATTACGTGTATAATGTATATTGTAACGTGTATATCACGTGTATATCACGTGTATATCACGTGTATATCACGTGTATATAACACGTGTATATCACGTGTATATCACGTGTATACCACGTGTTTACTGTTAATGTACGTGTGATGTGAGTATGTAGTTTGTGTTTGTCTATGTTTGTCTAAGTTAACTTTATAATGTATGTACTATACGTCATGATTTGAGTAAGTGTTTATAAATAAAGCTGGGTAAAAAAGTAGGTATCCACGACTCAAGTGTTAGCAAATGAATATTGAATAAGTGTCAAACATCAAAACTTTCAAATTAATTTTGTGATTTCTAGTCCTTGCCAGACTGGCAAATAGTTATTCGTATTTAAAGTAGCTTATATATATTATATTGTCTGACTCAACCGGTCGTTTCATTTTGTATATTATATCATATATAAGCTACTGTAATAAAAGTGTGCTGATATAATGTTAAAATGTACGCGGTTCTGCACGTGCAACTTTTATAAAGCAAAGCGACCTGAAGTAAGTTGCCTCTATCATGGGAAAATAGCAGTCGATGAAAGCATATTTTAACAGTGCTAAGTTAGTAAGTTAGTTGAAGCATTAAGCAAGATATTTCATCAGTATGTCAGGTATTTCAAGGTATTTTATCACTATACAGGTTAAAAATTGGTCTTTGAAGTGGGGTAAATTGTTCAAAGTTTAGCGAGCTGCAAGCTAGGCTATGTGTCAGTACTAAAATGGTCAGGCAAGAACATGGCTGGAATTTAGGTGGAAGAAATGAGTTTTCTGATGAATTCAGACAAGAATTTGGCGCTCTGTCCTTTACCTTACAATCACGTGACAATCACGTGATCACGTGATGAGATAGTGTGAGATCACGTGACATGACGGCGTGAGAGTAACACACCGACTGTGCTATCAGCACAATCTACTGTCTGGTTTAGAAATTAGCTTATGTAATTCCAACATAACCATAAATATATTATGATTCTGTGCCTACGTCTTGAGTGCTTACTTGAGCGGAGGTTCATATCAGTGCTTATGTGTTATTGCATGTAAGCCGTAGGGACTTCATGATGACGTCACATTTATATGACGTGATGACGTCACATGTATAAGGCCATGTATCAAGTAATTGACTGGATCTAGATTTATTCCATAATCCATATATTATGGTGATATCACGGTCCACAATTCCAGACACTATACACATTACACACTTTACTATATGTCCCAATTATTACCATATAACACCATTATATCTAACGTCACGTGTTATCAAATAGTAACCACAGTCCTAACTGGGGTAAGCGGGGAATATAATAATTATACGATATGTTTTACAGGACGAGTTGAAGGTACATCTAACACTGGGTTTACAATTTCCATGGGTGTATATATGTATAATATACATGTACTATATATAGTATCTACATTGGTGTCTACATTATTTTTGTAAAACTTGTAAAACTCGTAAAACTTGAAAAAACTTGAAAAAATTGCAGAACTTGTAACACTTGTAGAACCTGTACGTGTCTACGTGGTACGTACGTGTCTTCATAATTGTTTACTATTAACATATTATTATCATGATTGCATGTGTTAACAATGAACAATCCTGACGTATATCCATTAAATGTTATTTTAATCTTGCAATCAGTCACAGTGTGTGTCAGATAATGGTTGGGTAAACACTAAACACACGTTTTATAACGGATAGATAAGACGTCACATGTATATCTGATGACGTCACATGTAGATCTGATGACGGCACATGTAGATCTGATGACGTCACATGTAGATCTGATGACGTCACATGTAGATATGATGACGTCACATGTACATCTGATGACGTCACATGTAGATATGATGACGTCACATGTACATCTGATGACGTCACATGTAGATCTGATGACGTCACATGTAGATCTGATGACGTCACATGTAAATCTGATGACGTCACATGTAGATCTGATGACGGCACATGTAGATCTGATGACGTCACATGCAGATCTGATGACGTCACATGTAGATATGATGACGTCACATGTACATCTGATGACGTCACATGTAGATATGATGACGTCACATGTAGATATGATGACGTCACATGTACATCTGATGACGTCACATGTAGATCTGATGACGTCACATGTAGATCTGATGACGTCACATGTAAATCTGATGACGTCACATGTAGAACTGATGACGTCACATGTGCATCTGATGACGTCACATGTACATCTGATGACGTCACATGTAGATATGATGACGTCACATGTACATCTGATGACGTAGTATATGAGTTATGTTTGGAATAAGGTTCCAACTAACTAGTACGTTCCAACTAATCAGTACGTTCCAACTAATTAATACGTTCCAACTAATCAGTACGTTCCAACTAATTGTAAGAGAGTAGGTCACTTTTTTTTCTGTGTTCAGGGAGCAGTCTTGCCACATAGGTCCGGTAGTTCCGAACGTTTAGGCAGGGTGCTAATGTACTTTAAATGGTTGTCTATGTAAATTGCTTAGCTTCGGTTAAAAGCTTTAAATGTCCTAGTTGTCAGTTATGTGTTTTTCAATGTAGCGATGTGAAACGTCACGTGGTAATGTGATAACGTCACGTGGTAATGTGATAACGTCACGTGGTAATGTGATAACGTCACGTGGTAATGTGATAACGTCACGTGGTAATGTGATAACGTCACGTGGTAATGTGATAACGTCACGTGGTAATGTGATAACGTCACATGGTAATGTGATGACGTCACGTGGTAATGTGATAACGTCACGTGATAATGTGATAACGTCACGTGTAAGTTTTATAACGTCTTATTGTATTCCAGTTCAGTTTTGACCGTCTTGAAGTAAGTCTAAATAAACTGATTATTCTTTCACTTACTTCACTTTCACTTTCCTCGGCACTATCAGCTTATCTTTAAATGATCACACGTGGTTTTCAATCACGGCACGCACTACAAGATTTTGAGCATTGAGCATTACACAAGAGCAACTCCAGGCAATACTATTGTTTTTCAGGCAACATCTCGTTCATTATCAGATCTAGCTTCAGTAGATATTTAGTAGTATTTAAACCTGAGTCCTGATATAATCAGCGATTAAGTACCTAAAAGTTTTATCTGATGATGTCACGTGTATATCTGAAGATGTCACGTGTATATCTGATGATGTCACGTGTATATCTGATGATGTCACGTGTATATCTGATGATGTCACGTGTATATCTGATGATGTAATCAGCTACAAAGGTAGCTCACTTGAAATATCTACGCTTTGTAAACCCAAGTACGTTAAGCAGAAAGCTAGTGTTTATACATCATGAGTATTGTATGAGGGTGCTAAGATTCTACATTGCACCATCAGCAGCGTTGCTAAACAGCTTAAACTCTTGAACATTGTACAAGAACAAATATCTATATTAATGCTTTTCATACAAAGTTACAGCAGTTATATAACATAATATAGTTTTATAACTTTTTTTTGTAAAATATATCTATATACTAAATGTTATATTATACAGTTACTTAGCATGGGCAATATAAAGTGTCAAATTTACTTTTTTCATAAATTCAGTACATCGACCCGACCATATTATCGAGCTATTGCAACTACATTTTCCCGCTTACTCGTTAATTCCGTGTGTAAGATTGAAATGTAACCCTGAGGGTGAGTGTTCCGATACACACTTCATATCTCACGTGACTCTGTGACAAGAAACAGTACACAGATCACTATGAGCGGTACTTAGTTGGCAGTGATTAGGTAATTAGTGGAGGGTAATTAGTGATTAGCGACCTTGCTTTGTCCATTATACCTGGCACTTCCGTTAGCTAATAGGACTTTAAATACACTTTTGATGTTTAATCTCGGCGTGTAAATCTGATGTATGTCTCTGATTACTTCACGTGTATATCTCTGATTACTTCACGAATGTCTCTGATGATTGATGACGTCACGTGTATATCTGATGACGTAACGTTTAGGAGATTGAGCGGGGCCGAGGTAGCCAACAAGGGGACTCAGTAGAAAACATTGTAACTGTAAGTGTCCATTAAGTGAGAAGTGAGTTGGGACACGATAATACACACCACGTGTCATAAGAGTGCTGAGAGAGAGAGTGTGCATGTAGGCAAATACAGACAAACAGACAAACAGACAAGCAGACAACAGACAAACAGACAAACAGACAAACAGACAAACAGATCAACAGACAAACAGACAAACAGACAAACAGACAGACAAATGAACACTCATTTAGACGGACTGGATTGTTACTAAATTATTTAATTTCATGGCCCGAACTCCGAAGTTGTTCGTGAGAGAGATCGTAGGGACAGCTGCAGTACGTTATGGTCAAGTTAATATCGAGATAATCAATATTTACACCAGAATTCATTGGGACTCTCTGATGTTTCGCATATTAGTATTACCCCTCCCAGCAGTTACCATAATCGCTCAAGTACAGTAAAAATAACATAACTGACAGTGAAAGATAACGGTAATCATGGGAAGACGGTGCAAGTTTTGCAACACGTACCTTCCTGTTATCTTTTCACTGTCATGTTATGTAATTTTTAGTGCAGATTACTTTTTAATGATATAAAATTGTGGAGTAGTTTATTTGGACAGCGCGAGAGGGTTGGTCACTGTACTGTTGAGATACCTGAAAAAAATCCTCCGATTACACAAGACAGAAAGACAGAAAGATTATATGGACAACTTAAATCAAGATAAACTAAAGATTAAACAGCTACAGAGATCAGAAACTTACTGTTAAAAAAGATTTAATTTCTTAGTAGTTATAGCTTATTTGCATACTTTTAAAATATGCTATGAAATGTATATCATATTAAAGATGCATCACGATTAGGAAGTTAAAAGACTACTTCATATATAGCCATGATAATATCTACCCACGATAATAATATCTACTCATCAACAATGTTCACAATGTTATCTCTTGCTAATGGACATGATCCGTCAAGTCTATTATAATTATCCAGCGCACAGCTGATTATTGTGTTCAGACAAGTCGATTATAACAGTCAACAGCAGGGCGATGATGAACCAATGAAACATAATGTCATCTAATGAATACGTTAATAACACAGCTGATTCAGTTATTATATTATATTGATCAACATTGTCAGGTTACAACAACTCAGCCATCATAAACTTCAAAGACGCGTTTAATTGTTACTCCGCACACTTCCGAACAATCATCGGAGGCGTGCGCCAATCACAGGACTGTATTGACGTATTGTAGTCATGTGACTCAGTTTAGTCAATCAGAAAGCCTAAACGATTGTATGATACCATTGGATGCATTAATTGAACAAATTAGATCTTTTTCGAGAAGCCTTAATGCACGAGCATTGATTAACTAATAATCAATCAATCGATCAAAGTTTTAGATTGGTTTGCATATTAGGTAGAATTTAGACTTGGCTACTGGTGGGGAGGTGACCAGAGTTTATTTTGACGCGTTTTGTCCCTGTGGCATGCCGCAAGCGGGTGTGTATGTCGCTGTCAAAACGAACATCTGTTATCTCACCGCTTGTACTGAAGTGTATTATTATTCATTTGACTAGCATGCATCAACCAAGCAAGAAATTAATATAAATAATAGCTCATTTGTCGGATATCCAACATCAGTTCGATATTCAGTCAAGCAGTGACACGTTTAATCGTATAATTAATTCATCGCTTAATTAATTAACCACTTCCTTAATTACCAGATTTCGAGACGGATGTTCCCGAATCACTACGATCGGGATAAGCTGGACGAGGTTGAGCTCCACAACAAGTTGCGACACTACATCGTCAACGAAGTGATCAGCTTGCAGACCAACAAGGGCATGGTCCTGGTAAGAAATATTTCCTTGTGTTTGAATTTCTATTTTTTAACAAATTTCTGTAATATAATAAGTAATTAACAACTGGGAAAGTCTAGTTTTATTTCCTTGTTTTCCGTTTAATGGTAAGCTGGTGTCTTGATGTTGCGCGATGACTGCTACATACAAAAGCTTATGATGATCTGTATTCGTGCGACAAAAGAATATCATAAACCCGTTCCGAGCGAAATAGTATTCAATGGAATGGAATTTACACTTGCCATATTTGCGAGCTTTTGACATTTTAGGATCGAACACGGTCACGAAAGTGGAGCTTTTGTGGCGTTCCGTAGAAAAATAGCGCGACTGAAATTAAATACGAGTGTAATAGTGTTCTAATGGTGGTTTAATGAAATGATCCAGTGAAAAGTTCTGGTAGAATGTTCTAGTGAAATATCTAAGTGAAATATCTAAGTGAAATTTTATACTTTGAAAAGTAAAATGTGGTGAGATAAAGTAGTAATATGTAATTTAATGTCTGCTTATAAAAGTACAATGCAATAATTTTAATCGGTACTAAGCCATTGCTTCGCTTCTCTACAAAATATTTGTAGTGACACATTTTTAGGACAAATAGACTTGATGATGAGAAGAAATTAAACAACTTAAAATCGTCGCACTAGTAGAAACACTGATACGACTTTAAGTTGCAGTCCTTTAACAAATTTTTAAATTGCAGTTACTCAATTTCCGACTTAATTTAAATCCAGTCGACGCACCATTTCAGCTAAAAGAAATCGTATCAAAGGAATAACCTTAAGTTATACAAGACATGTCATACCGAAATGAGAGCCAATGTAACTCGTAAATTTTACGCTTTCGAAAACATTTTGGGACCCATTTTTATTTTTTGGGATTTTCACGATTTTAGTTGTGAAGAGATTACTGGCAATAGACTGTACAATTTCGTGGTATTGAACAGTATTTTTAATGTAACTAAATGGGATTAATGCTCCGATAGTACATAATAATTGAATATGAACGGTGGAAATAGGCCATCAATGGTAATCTGTTACAACAGCTTAGTAGTGTTTAGTTTGGTTAACTCTAAGAGATACCGACTGTAGCGCGCTGAAGAAATAACGTTATACAAACTGTTTTTATCTGCATCCACCATGACATAAATGCGCGGCGCGCACTACCTCGTTATCAAATTACTATTTAACTGGCATTTACAGTCTCCGAGGGTTCATGGTACGAAATATTAACGAACGCAATTGTCAACATTTACCTCTTTTGCTCGGACAATATATTAGTCACCCTGAACTTTTGTCACTTGCGACGAAAAGCCCCTTACAAAGCAATTCATTTAATTGAGTTGCTCGGGGCAACGAATAGTTAGAATGTGGTATGCTGGTCACGCATGCATTATTAATACGATCTTGATAATTTTAAGGTATGATCACCCCACTCGACTGTGTATTATATTAACTTTATTAGCTCAAGTTCATTTGGAGTGGCATAATCGGGTGATCAGTGATGTGGCAACAGTCGCATTGTGTGGTTTTTATGTACTGGTCCCCTCAAGTAAGATTGTCTAAACTGTAAAATGTTGTGGATAATTGATTGATTTTACACGGCGAGAGGGCGGACTTTCAAGTATGGTTCCCTTTATAAATACTTCAATTAGGAGGCTGGTAAAAAAAAGAGAAGAGTTTACACATTATATATTAGCCGCCTAAAATGTTTCAATCCGTACAGCCATTCAGATTACTGACTGGTTTCTTTCCCGTGTGAACTAATGTTTTTCAAGTTTACTCGTTCCAAGTCTGTCCTTAGGTAAAAAATAATTTGATTATTATAATTCCTTTAATAGGTGAAAAAATACCATCATTCACATCATTCTAGCCTTTTCATCATCTCAACATAGAGTGTATCACTTCCTCTGATCTTCAAACATACATTTCTCTTGGCCCATTTTCCAGATGTGCAGTTCGTTAGCCCGCATTAAATTAACTGCAAGATTATATTCAAGATTGACACACCCTGCAGCTATAGTATCATGTTAGTTGATCTGGTTCCTTTTCAGTTACGTCATTTTACTTTATCTGGTGTAAGATCTAATTACATTGTGCACTGCTAAAATTTGATGTTTAAGAGGGGAAAGTTTAAATTTTTTGCTTTTTCCTAGTTTCTGCTGTCGCTAAGTGAATTTTATGACTACGAATCCATTAGAGCATTAGTATGTATTTCATCAACCTGCCTGTTAATCAACATGAAATTGTCTGCATAAAAGTTACGAAAAAATAATAATGAAATTTCCATTATCATTATGTGGCAACACAATTTTATGTGAGTGAAGCACCAGGTGAACCGTTTAAAGTGATGAACTGCTGCCACTACTACTCCTTCATCAACAAATTGGTTTAATTAATTAGGCATTTCGCGGAAGCGGCTCCTGTCTGCACGTGTAGCACCGTCTTGTCCTCGGTCTTTCCAGTCTCTTTTTTAATTCTCCCTCTGGGGTGGCGAAACACTTTTGTTTTGTTTCGAACCTTCCAACTTGAAGGAACCAATCAGATGCTCGGATAGATATCACGTGTTAAACCCAACATACAGAATACAGATGATAAGTAATAAACATGTCCGTGAAATGTTTGTCTTATTGGTTATTACAGTGCAGTGCTGATATATTAGTACCTATGACGATTCAGGTCATATTTCTGTTTAAAAATACTGGTAGATCTAAACTTTTGCTTGGTAGAGAGTTGGAATGCTTGCTTTGTTGTTTTTCGGGTAATTTTTTGTAAATTCTGTGGCTACCATTCTTTCTCGTGATACTTTTTATCCTCTTATCGACTCTAAACACCAGCAGAACCTTCAGCTCCTCCAAATACTCATGTAATTGTTAGAATGAGAGCGCTAAAGACCAAAAGGTTCCTTTTATCCCAGCAGTGGAGTGTGAAACCTCGAAAAAATTTAAATCACATTAACAGACTTATTTTACTGATTAATTGTAATAACACTATCTACATAATACAATAACAGCAATGTAACGAGGATTAATATCCCAGACTTTCATGAGGACAATAGTCTTCATGATCTTACTGTGCTTCATTTGTTAGAATGGCTTCATGAATTCATCTTTCCATTTTAGAGTCGATCTTGTTCTGACATTTGTTGTCAACTTCTCTTGATTTGAGTGAGCCATTATAGATCTCTTTTAAGTTTTAACTCTCTAAGTTTATTTAGATTTTGTTGTACTGAGCTAAAGGACTGTCGCCAGGTATCAACACCAGGTATCAACACCAGGTACCAGGTATCAATACCAGGTATCAACACCAGGTACCAGGTATTAACACCAGGTACCAGGTATCAATACCAGGTACCAGGTATCAATACCAGGTACCAGGTATCAACACCAGGTACCAGGTATCAATACCAGGTACCAGGTATCAATACCAGGTACCAGGTATCAATACCAGGTACCAGGTATCAATACCAGGTACCAGGTATCAATACCAGGTACCAGGTATCAACACCAGGTATCAACACCAGGTACCAGGTATTAACACCAGGTACCAGGTATCAATACCAGGTACCAGGTATCAATACCAGGTACCAGGTATCAACACCAGGTACCAGGTATCAATACCAGGTACCAGGTATCAATACAGTATTGGCTGTTAAAGCATTCAATCAGTTATAATCATCAATATTTTCATATAACATTCCTCCTCTGAAACGGTTTCATTTATGATTTTAAGGCGACATTTTAAGTAATTTCTTCACATAGTAACCGTGACATCACACTCGATCCCACATGAGTATTTATACTGCTTACATATTGTATGTTTATCTCTCTTCAATGACTAAAGATCTTGGCTCTACACTATACCACTTTACTCCACTATACTCCGTGTACCATCTCACCATATCAACTATACCATGTACCAGTTCTTGAGTTCTTTGTAGTTGTTAATAAGTTGTTTAATACTGTTATATTATAATTTATGGAGGTTGTTACATCTTGATAGTATCGCAATCAAACTGCCAGAAAATGGCTGGTTATTATGGATAAGAATGCATCTCAATAGCATACTGAATAGGATACTGACCATTTGTTATCAATTAAAGAGAGCAAACTAGTTGTCATCAATTCATACCTTTTAGAACATTAAGTGATTACAGTTTGACATTCTGTAGCGTTAGAGCACCATCACAGCAACATGGCTGTTTTACCATATCCGTGCATGATTGGACCATTTACAGACCAGGTCTGGTGTTATCAGACAATTGTTTTGCAGCTCAGAAGTACGGCCCGGTGAAAGTCAAGTGACACCCGCTCACTCCCACCCTTCTTCAACTCTCATTAATTAACTTATCATGTTTTGGGTGGTAATTAAGTAATTATAGCAACAACACTTAGCCAGTGTTTACTGGCAGTGTTTAAATAAACACGTGCGGTGTTCTGTTTTAACCCGCGCACGTGCGCCTGTTAATGACATCTGAAGAGCGTGTGTATCTGTGCTATTTTCTTTAATACTCCACTCTCCTTGTGTTTTGTGTACTTATGCTTAAAGTATCTGTACTTATAGTCAGATATCATTTGTACGTGGACACCGACAACATCCCGCTAGCTTGAGTTAAAAATACTTCCTCGGATCGTCTTCATGTTCGACTGCTATGAATGGTTGGTTTTAGTGACGTCATGATATGTATTTCCTCTGATTGGTTGGTTTTAATGACATCTTGATATGCATTTCCTCTGATTGGTTGGTTTTAACTTTTAGTGACGCCATAACCTTTACCCCCTCTGATTGGTTGGTTTTCCTACGATCCACAGGCACAGCGGTATACCTGCTCACGAGTCTGTACTTTGGGTGAATTCCACTTTTCATTGCTGGTTCAGCTGCGTGCTCCTGCTCACAATGTAACTCGTCATCAGTAATTGTGTGAAAAAACATAGGCTACCTTGTATTTAGTATTTATTACAACTCGCGGTTATTTATTCCGTCGTTTTTGCTACACTT